AGTATGGATCCACTCGAGGAGCAATATTATCATACCAATGCTTCTACTAGAAGTACGGTACCCCACCCTGCCGGTACTCACTCCACCCTTGAAGCTTTCGATAAGGAGAGCGGCGGCTGTACTGCTGCATCTGAACCTGTGAAGGTCGAACCTGATTCGGTTTTTGACCCGCTTTCAGTGCAACGTGATGCTCATGCCCCTGCAGAGTTGAATCCTCCTGCCACTACTGCAGCCGCCTCCGCCAGTAGCGCTGCAGCTGCGGCTCCAGAGCAGGGAGGTGATTCCACTGCGGTTTCGAGAAGCAACAGACAGATGTGCCTACTCGGCTCAGCAGATAATGGGGATGGGAGTGGTGTCACGGAATCAGCTGCCTTCGTCGTTGTTGCCGCCGCTGCTGCTGCCGCTGCCAATGGTTGTTCCTTGCAAGGTGACTCTAGGGTCAAGCGCGAGAACTCGTTTTCCTGTGAAGCACATGAGACTACTCAGCTCCGCATCACATCTGCACTCCTCAACTACAATGACTCACCACCCATGCCCAACGGGGGATTCTGTGATTGGAAAGAGAATGGGTTGCCTGATGGCGTGCCGGATGCTAAAAGAGTGAGGCGCACTGAAGAGTCAGCACCTTCACGCTTGAATCCCAGCCCAATTGTTTTTGAAGCTGCTGGTACACATGTGATGGACCTGCATGGAGGTGCTGAAGGTGGCGCTTTTCCAATCCGCTCTTTGAAAGTTTTCAAAGAGGAACCTGCCGTTCTCATCGCTCCAGTTTTTTAGAATTATGACTATTTGCTTTGGGGAGAGGATGAAAATCTGGATGGACCTGTTGAGACGCACAAATCTGCACTCGTTTCTTGCGTTTTGTAGTACAGGGCTTTGTTGCAAATGGTCAGGATGGGTACTTTGATTTCCTCGTTGATATTTTGTGTACCGTACTTTTCCATTCAATCCAATGCTATCTTAATCGTAACTGCTATGTTTGTGCTACCGTGCCCAGCCACAACAGGCCCCTCGATATCAGGGAAAAACTTTCTAATTTGCACTGAATTTAGGATAGAATTTGCCCTAGAAATTTCAGGAAGGTTGTGAAATCCTGCCCTGTAATACAGGTCGAATGCTGAGGAATGCCCTAACGCGTGCGAGGGGGAAGGGGGGAAGGGAGGGGGGAGAGGAGAGGAGGAGGGGAGGGAGGAGGGGGGAGGGGAGGAAAGGGGGGGGGTGGGCGGGGGGAGCTGGTTTCGCCTTTTCCCGAAGATTTCGCGCAGCCAGTTGTTGTAAAACCACGTGGGATCAATACGTGATGTCAGGGCTGGTCTTGGCTGGCCTTGCCGCGCGATCTCATATGGAATCATTCTACGGTATGCTTCAGCTAGAGAGCGCACGCCGTGGTAGGGTGGCTTCGGGCAGAGCGTGGCATCCTCGTCGTCCTGCACCATGCATGCACTGGGCATCTCTCTCATCTCGTGCCTTCCCACCACCTCTCTCGTGTCTTGTCAAACACGACTAACCACTTGCAATCTTTCCTCGATTGTACCAACTTCGACCAAACCCAACAAACCGTTACCCCATTCTCGACAATTTGTTGCTATGCTACAAAACGTTAGAGACAAAGCCATCAAGGCTACCCACAAGGTGAACAACAGTGCTCGAACATATTCGGATAAACAAGTTATGATCGACACGAAGGGACTTCGATTGTCCGCATTACCGAGGTTACAATAATACTATGGATCTTTCAGCGTCATCTAAATGATAACCATGGTGACTGCAAACTTATTGCTGCCCGACTATTGGCAAATACACGATGCTTTCCACACCAGCCTTCTATGACCCTTCGTCGCTGACACTCCAAATATTGCCAACAAAACGCTCCTTCAGCGCCTTGCCAAGTTCCAGAACCAACCGATCTGTCAAAGGTATTTTGACAATGTGTCCGACTTGATCCGAATAGATGCCTTGTTGGACCGATCATACTTGAGAGGACAACACATGGGTTTCTTCATCCTTGCTTGAAGCACCTTCACTATTTCGCAAGTATCTCACACAAAAGCGTGCGGTTGATCATGATCACCCGTCTTAGGAAAGGGGTCAGTAAAAGGCAAAACCATCTTCTCCTTATCAAACTTGTAATTGGCTCAGCAAAAATTCTCGATACCGAGGCTACCTCGCGTCACTTTTGGCTTTCATTTGCCCAACGTGGACACTATCAAATATACACGTGTTGAAATAATGTTCTTAACTTAGTAGCCCTGTCTTAGGAGTAGCCCAGGTAAGGAACGATAGTGGCGAGAGTTTTGAGAAGGGAGAAGGAGAATGGGGGGTTTCACTATGGAAAGAGTTACAAGTTATAGCAAGCCAAAGGGTGCACCACCTAACAGGACAACAATATAACTACACTACAGCTAGAACAACATGCAGTTATACAGAAATATATTCTAACACACCCCCTAACTGCATGCAGGAATAGCCATGTACAAAAACACCCCCGGAAGGGGTACACCAAGTGCAGCGGAAGATGGCAGAGAGGAATGTGAGGAGGAGGAGGCGAGAGAGAGAGAGAGAGAGAGAGAGAGAGCGAGAGAGAGAGAGAGAGAGAGAGAGAGAGAGAGAGAGAGAAGGGGGGGGAGAGGAGAGGGATGAGGAGAGGATGTGGGAGGGAGCCACGCGACGAGCCCCTCTTACGAACCCCCTTTTTACAAGAGGGGGGGGGGGGGGTGAGAGAGGGATGAGGAGAGGAGGTGGGGGGGAGCCATGCGACGAGCCCCTCTTACGAACCCCCTTTTTACAAGAGGGGGGGGGGGGGTGAGAGAGGGATGAGGAGAGGAGGTGGGGGGGAGCCACGCGGCGAACCCCTCTTACGAACCCCCAAAGCCACACCCCCTTTCAGCCACCCCCCTCAACCTCACCCCCCTTGTCAACCACCCCATGGAACCTCACGCCTTCCCCCCCACCCTTCCTCCAACGCCTTCCCCACCCACGGTGGTCCCTGATCAAGCCTTCACACGGCGGCCAGAAGCCCGCCACCCCCTCACCCTCCCCCCCACAGCGACAAGTGCGGCGGTGAGAGAGAGAGGAGGAGGGGCGGCAGCTGGGTGCTCACACCTGCCACCCCAAACCCACACCCCCCCACTGTTGCACGCGCAGCAGGGAGAGAGGGGGGAAGGCGAGCGGCAGCGACAGTAGCTCCTCCCGCCACACCCACCACTCCACCCTCTCCACCCTCTCCACCCTCCCCCCCAACAGCAGCAGGTGCGGCCGTGAAAGAGAGAAGAGGAGGGTGGTGCTGTTGATGCCACCTCCCCCTTACACCCCCTCCCCCTCCCCCCAAATTGCTGCACGCGCAGTAGGGAGAGGGCAGAGAAGGGAGGGAGGGCGAGGTGCGCGATCTGGTGGGGCGGGCGCGGGCAGGCAGGGCGCACGAGGCGACGTGCAGAAACCGCCGCGCGCCCGGGGCGCACGACGAGTCGAAACTGACGACCGCGACGGGCAGCAAGGAGGCGCATTAGCGGAAGCTTACGGTGGGCCCAATAATGAAGGCTCTAGGAACGAGCCTGCTCTGATGTAATGTTGAAATGATGTTCTTACCTTAGTAAGCTTGTCTTAGGAGTAGCCTAAGTAAGGAACGATAGTGGCGAGAGTATTGAGAAATGAGAAGGAGAATGGGGGGTTTCACTATGAGAAGAGTTACAAGTTATAGCAAGCCAAAGGGTGCACCACCTAACATGACATCAATATGACTACACTACAGCTAGAACAACATGCAGTTATACATAAATATATAGGTCTAACGTTTAGTATGGGCTCAAGTGGGCTATACTGTATAAGGTGTAGGTTGCTACTTGTACCCCCCTTTATGCCCATTCTAGCTAATTATTCTCTCAATAACATGGCGGTCCATCTAAGGTATGCGGGATCCTCGTGAGTGGCGCGATATGCTACGTAACACTTTGGTTGACCTTTGTTTCTTTCTATCCTCGGATGACTCGTCTCTTTCGACCGCTCCGGCTCTACTCCATTTTACATCCTTATCTACGTCGACGACATGGTATTCGCTACTCCAGACAGGTCACCCCAGTAAATGTCGAGTTGCTAATGAGACATATTTGCACTGACCTAGGTGAACTGCACTGCTATCTTGGCATGCAGATTACAAGAAACAAAGTACCACGGTTCCAGCCTAGCTAAGTTTTGCCAGCTATAACGTCATTTTATAGTATCGTCGATCCATATTGTCATAGCTTCATTATTCTTTTTTTCCGCCCACTTTGTTTTTACAACTCATAAAAAATACCAAGGAAGTATTGTTCAACTGATATTTTGTTTGAAGTCTTGTAGCTTCTGGTTTTTGTGTGTGTGATTTTTTTATGCGGTAGTACACTAAAAAATGCACTATACAATGTTGATTCAGAGTCCTAATAATGGTTCTGAACCTTCTCCATCCTTTTCACGTATTCCCAACCTTTTGGACTTGAATTTTTTTTTGGCAATGCAAGATACACTTTAAGCGCTGTTGGATTTGAAGTGGTTGTTGAAAGTCATGTACAGTACTGCACCGCTCATGGATTCAAAAAAGGTTCCGCCATTGGACTATTCCATCAACCTTTCCTCTTGTTGACTCAAGGACCCTACTATCCGCCATGGTTGCTGCTACCGGTGCTGCTGCTGTTAGTAAAAGCTCCTTTCGCTGGTTTTATGTCGAAGGAGCGCCGCTTTTGGTGGTAGAATATCCGCAGTTTTGCTCTCGATGCAGGGAATTTTGCTAGTTTCCCATTTGTGTTAGCCTTCTTCATCTTTGATATATCAAACAGGGAGGTTCACGCATCGCGCGGCTCGACTTACTGACTTGGCTGATCGGACATAGAAGCCGCAAAAGTATTCAGCACTGGGCCCTCACTAGACGATGCAACGTTTCGCGAAGGTATCGTGGTAACCACGTATCTGCGTCACCTGAACGGGAAACCCTAAAACAGCCAGATCACAGGCCGACACTTCCAGGCGAAATGCCAGCCGTAGATACTTATGCTGCGGAAATGCCACTCGTAGACGCTGCGGAAATGCCAGTCGCAGATACTTCTGCTGCGGAAATGCGAATCGCGGATGCTTCTGCGGAAACGATAGCAGCAGCAGGGGAGCCTGCGCAAGCCGTGGAGATCGGGGAACCCCGTCACGCGGCGGAAATCGACGAATTCCCCCGATTAACGGAAGCGGCCACTCCGCTACCCGTGGTAGCATTGGGGGAAGCATCGGCAGAAGCATCGGCGGAAGCATCGACGGAAGCATCGGCGACTGAGTTACCGCCGGGGACTGACAGAATTCAAGGTCAAAGTAGTAACGTTGGCGATATAGATCATGCTGGTAACTCTGGCGACCGAAATGAAGCGAGTAACCTTGGCGACGATTACGGCCTAGGTCCAGCTCAGCCTGATACCACTGCACCTAGTACCAGTGCTAACGCCGCAATTCTCGCTCCGAAAGGGCCAATCACAGACGCGCGCAATGGTCAAGACGCGGCGAACACGTCAGCGCGACACCGTGAGCTGGTAGACGCCACAGGGCAGCTGCTATTCCTTGCGAGCCGCGGCATAATTGAGGGGGTTATAGACCTATTGGATCGCGGCGTGAGTCCGGATTTGGCGGATTATGACGGGCGAACGGCGCTGCATCTGGCGGCGAGCGAGGGGAAGGTGGATGTGGTGCGGGTGCTGCTTGAGCGAGGCGCGGATGTGAACCCCAAGGACCGCCACGGCAACACGGTGAGAAGGGTGCAGAACGATGTGAAGGGGTGCATGACAGCACACTGAGAGGCGGAAGGCAGAGGCAGCACCGCGTGGGTCTGTTGCTCCTTCTGACAATGTGAATTCCCATCGTGGTGACTTCTATCTGTTACCTGGTGAACGGGGCCGATTCGTCGTGACATCACATTGCTAGCCAATTTTGCGACATCACACTGTTACCTGGCTATGTGGCATCACAATGTTATTGTTTTGGCATGGAATGGCATGGCGTGGCGTGACGTGGCGTGGCGTGGCATGGCGTGGCGTGGAGGCATGGCATGGCATGGGATGGGATGGTATGACATGACACGGTGGGATGGCATGGCATGGTCTGGGATGGCATGTTATGGGATGGGGGATGGCATGTTATAGGATGGAATGGCATGTCATGGCATGGCATGGCATGGCGGTCATTGCCGTTCCCCCCTACCCTCTCCTTCCCCACCCTCCCCTCTCGCAGCCCTTGGCAGACGCGCAGTCGTATGGATCCGGAGAGATCTGCCGCCTGCTCAAGGAGAAAGGGGGCATGCTCTGTGAGGTGAGGGGGCATGCTCTGTGAGGTGAGGGGGCATGCTCTGTGAGGTGAGGGGGCATGCTCTGTGAGGTGAGGGGGCATGCTCTGTGAGGTGAGGGGGCATTCTCTGTGAGGTGAGAGGGCGTGCTCTGTGAGGTGCGCGGGGGAACTTGGGGACGCGGGAAAATAATAGAGGAACAGGGAATTGGGGGAATGAGAGGGCGATGGGATAATGTAGAGGAAAGGGGAGTCTGTAGGAAGAAATGGGAGTGGCGGAGTGTGGAGGAAAAGGGAATCGGGAGGGAGGGAAGGGGTGCGGGAATGTAGAGGACTGGAGCGCCTGGGGAGAGAGAGGCGGCAGGGCAGCGTAAGCGGAAAAGGGGAGTCTGGCAGGGATGGTGGGGTGGTGGGATGGTGGGGATGGCGGGATGGTGGGGATGGTGGGGATGGCGGGATGGTGGGGATGATGGGGATGGCGGGATGGTGGGGATGGTGGGATGGTGGGATGACATCTCTTCTACGTTTCTCCTGAACCTCATATGCCCCATATGCAATATTGATTCCCTGCCTACCTTCCCCCTTGCCCTGATTCTCTATCCACTAACAAAGAAAGCATTCCCCTCTCTCCCCCTCCCTCCCCCCCCCGCCTCCCGTAACCCCACACCACCCTTTTCCGTCCTCCGGCGTTCCTCTTATCGCCCCTGCCTGCATCTCTCATTGAATGCTCCGTCTGTCGTTTCTAGTCATCCCTACATTGTAAATCCTGCCCCTACTTCCCTACTAATTAGCCCAGCATCGATTCCCCGCCACCCCTCCCCCCCCCCCCTTCCCCGCGTTTCTCCTCCTCCCTTCCGATTCCCTTCCTCTGCTCCCCCCCACCCCTGACAGAGTGCGCGCATACGCAATGCAGGGGCTCATTCGTTCAACCAGCACGACTACGAGATCGACGGCAGTGAGATCGACCTGGGCACGTCCAAGGTCATTGGCGAGGTGCGTAGGAGGGGGGGGAGGGTGGGAGGTGGGGTGTATGGGGGCGTGAGCTTGAGGAAAAGGCGGGGGTGTGGGGGGGGAGGCATGGGGGGCTCTTGTGTCAGGTAGGTGGCTCATTCGTTCAACCAGCACGACTACGAGATCGACGGCAGTGAGATCGGCCTTGGCACGTCCAAGGTCATTGGCGAGGTGCGTAGGGGGAGGGGGAGGGGATGGGCGAGGTGCGCAGGGGGACTGGGTGGGAGGAGGGTGGTGGGGGGTGAGCAGGGTGAAGGGAGGGTGTGAGCAATGCGAGGTGGGGTTGGGAAGGGGCGAGGTGAGAAGGGGGGAGGGGGTGAGTGCAGGGTCATTCTGGGAAATGCAATGCAGCTGCTGAGGGTCTTTGGCAGAATGCTTCTCCCTTCTCCCTTCTCCCTTCTCCCTCTCAACTGCCTCCCTCTCAACTCCCTCCCTCTCAACTCCCTCCCTCTCAACTCCCTCCCTCTCAACTCCCTCCCTCTCAACGCCTGCCCTTCCTCTCCTCCCTGTCGCCTGCCCCGCTTACTCCTTTCACATCCCAGGGGTCGTTCGGGGAGGTGCGCCTGGCGAGTTGGAGGGGCACGCCCATCGCTGTGAAGGTGCTGAGAGATGAATACGCTGCCGACCCTGCCGCCCTGTAAGGGAACCGCTTACTGGTCTTGCTAATACCTGCTCTTTAAGGCGGATTGTATGCCCCCCTGCCCCCCCCCCACCCCCCCCCTCTGCCCCCCTTTCCTCCTAGTGTAGCGGATTGTATTCGGATTGTATCTCTCTCAAAGATTGTTGATGTGCCGCCACCCACCATTTCCCTCGTTGCTCAATCCCCCTCATCCGCCACCCACCATTTCCCTCGTTGCTCAATCCCCCTCATCCGCCACCCACCATTTCCCTCGTTGCTCAATCCCCCTCATCCGCCACCCACCATTTCCCTCGTTGCTCAATCCCCCTCATCCGCCACCCACCATTTCCCTCGTTGCTCAATCCCCCTCATCCGCAACCCCCCCGCCCACCCATCTCCTACCCCTCCTGTCCCCAGCCCCCGTGCGTGCAGCAATGAGTTCCGGCAGGAGCCGCGGATTCTGCAATCCCTGCGCCACCCCAACATCGTGACTCTCATGAGTCGACACAAAACCCGCCCCCCCTACCCACCCCTTCTTGCCCACCCCCCCTCGCCCGCCCCCCCTTGCCCGCTCCCCCTTGCCCGCTCCCCCTTGCCCCGCCTGTGGGAAATGAAGGTTAGAGTTGAACTGCATGATTGGATTGAAAATGGTAGGGGTATACATAGTTGGGGGTTGGGCACTAGTCTAGGGAGCCATTATTGGACCCCAACCAATAAGTTGGGTTGGGTGATTATTGGTGGGGTCCAATAATGTTGGCCAAGTTGGGGTTGGGCCAACATTATTGGAGGGAGCCAATAATTCTACCCAACCCAACCTTTTGGGGTCCAATAATTGGACCAAGGTTGGGTTCCAACCTACAAACTAGGTTACCCCGGCTTGTACACCCAAACTCTATTTGGGTGCTTATCTCTAGCCTATTCATGACATGTATGCAGGTTACAAGAGGAGATATATTCTAACACCGCCCCCCCTTGCCCCACCCCCCCTTGCCCCGCCCCCCCTTGCCCGCCCCCCCTTGCCCGCCCTGCCCATCTCCTTGGTCCGCAGCAACGAGTTCAGGCAGGAGCTGCGCATCCTGCAGTCGCTGCGCCACCCCAACATCGTGCAGTTCCTGGGAGCCGTTACCAAGTCCCGCCCGCGCATGATCGTCACCGAGTACCTCAAGGTGGGGTGGGGTATGCCTGGCTTTAAGTGCTCATGCTTGGCCTGCACAATATGTATGGCTGGCACAACGTGCTTGTCGTTTCCTCCCTCTCTCCAAGTCCCGCCCGCGAATGATCGTCACAGAATACCTCAAGGTGAGATGGACTTGCTTGGTTGAAGTTGATGAAAGAAGGAGAAAAAGACTAAGAAAATGTAGAAAGTCAGACCCTCTCAGGTCAATCTGAGGGACGTCTTCGCCCCTTCCGCTATCCGCCCCTCCCCCATTCGCCTCTCCCCCTGCGCCCCTCCCCTCCCCTATGCGCCCGTTCCCCATGCGTCCCCCACACAGGTGAATCTGAGGGACGTCATTTGCAGGAAGGGCGCTTTGCCTCCCCCATCCGGCCCCTCCCCCATGCATTCCTTCCCCATGCGCCCCCTCTCCCGTGCGCCCCCTCCCCCATGCGCCCCCTCCCCCATACGCCTACTCCCCCATGCGCCCCCTCCCCCATGCGCCCCTTCCCCATGCCCCCCCCTCCCCCATGCGCCCCCTCCCCCATGCGCCCCCTCCCCCATACACCCCCTCCCCCATACGCCCCCTCCCCCATGCCCCCCCCCTCCCCCATGCGCCCCTTCCCCATGCCCCCTCCTCCCCCATGCGCCCCCTCCCCACGTGCACAGGTGAATCTGAGGGACGTCATTCGCAAGAAGGGCGCGCTGCCAGCGCACGAAGCAATGCGCTACGCCCTTGACGTTGCCAGGTACTGTGGGAGGTGCTTTCAGACATTGCCCTCTGCGGTAGACATTGCCCTCTGCGGTAGACATTGCCCTCTGCGGTAGACATTGCCCTCTGCGGTAGACATTGCCCTCTGCGGTAGACATTGCCCTCTGCGGTAGACATTGCCCTCTGCGGTAGACATTGCCCTCTGCGGTAGACATTGCCCTCTGCGGTAGACATTGCCCTCTGCGGTAGACATTGCCCTCTGCGGTAGACATTGCCCTCTGCGGTAGACATTGCCCTCAGCGTTAGGCATTGCCCTCAGCGTTAGACATTGCCCTCAGCGTTAGACATTTCCTCGTGCCTATTGGCTTCTTCGCTGATTCATAACGCACTGCATTTTGCCCTCTCCGTTGGAACATACTCCCTCCCTGTCAAACGTTCTGATCTCCACCCCCTCCCTCCCCACTAGCCACCCCAAGTTGTATCCTCAATTTTTTTCCTCTGCCTTCGTTTCCTTTACCTCCTCTGTCCACCTCTCCCCATCCATGCACACCCCTTCCCCAGCCAGTTTTCTTTTTAAGCCCTCTTCATCCACACTCCCCTCTCCTCCTCACCTCCCCTCCACTCCTCACCTCCCCTCCCCTCCTCTCCTCTACACTCCTCCCCCCGCTCAATGCTTCCCTGCTCCGCTCCGTCTCCTCTCTTTCCCTCTCTCTCCTCTCTTTCCCTCTCTCTCCTCTCCTCTCCTCCCCTCTCCTCCTCTACCTCCGCTTCCGCTCTCATCTCCCCTAATCTCCCCTCTTCCCTCGTCCCCATCTCCGTTGTCTCCCCCATCTCCCCCATCTCCCCCGTCTCCCCCGTCTCCCCCGTCTCCCCCATCTCCCCCATCTCCCCCGTCTCCCCCGTCTCCCCCGTCTCCCCCATCTCCCCCGTCTCCCCCGTCTCCCCCGTCTCCCCCATCTCCCCCGTCTCCCCCGTCTCCCCCATCTCCCCCGTGACCCGTCTCCCCTCCCACCCAGGGGCATGTGCTATCTGCATGCCCACCGGCCAGACCCTGTAATACACCGCGACTTGACCCCCAGGTATGCAGCTGCGAGGATGTGGGGAAGGTAGTAAGTGGGGAAGGTAGTAAGTGGGGAGCACGTGCTATCTACATGCCCACCAGCCAGACCCTGTAATACACCACGATTTGACCCCCAGGTATTCCATTGGTGGAAGTGGGGAGCAAGGGGGGAAAGGAGGGGGGCGGAGGGGAGGGAGTGTGAGGGAGAGGGGGGAGAGTGAGTAGTGAGAGGGGTTGGGGGGACGATGGTGGATACACAGTAAAGATGTAACCCTTTCTGCTTTCCTCTCCTTCCGCACTCCCGGCCCTTTCCCCCCTTCTCACTTTCCACCTTTCCCCCTTTCTCCATGTCTCCCTCTCCCACTCCCCCTTTCTCCCTTTTCTCCATGTCTCCCTCTCCCACTCCCCCTTTATCCCATTCCCCATTTCTCCCCACACACTGATAGCAAAGCAACCTCTTGCGGATGACTCAGGGCATCTCAAGGTGGCGGATTCCAGTCTCTCCTTGGCCTCCCTTCCCCCTATTCCTACCGTTTCCTTGTCTCTTTCCTCCTTTGCCCATCTCCCTTTCCTCCTTTCCCCCCACACGAGCAGCAACCTCTTGCGGGACGACTCAGGCCATCTCAAGGTGGCGGATTTCGGCCTGGCAAGCATCCGAGCCACCGCTGCTGCTCACCCACTCCCTCCCTTGTCCGTCTCCCTTTCCCCCTTTTCTACCGCTCCTTAACAGCAACCTCTTGCGGGACGACTCGGGCCATCTCAAGGTGGCGGATTTTGGCCTGGCAAGCATCAGAGCCACTGCTGCGGCCCCACCCAATGTCTCCACGGGCACGGGGATGGGCCTGGGGATGGGGATGGGCCTAGGCATGGGGATGGGGGGCACCAACATTGTATCACTCTTCCAGCCCAACTTTTCTCGCCGACTCACTTTTTCCAAGCACAGCCATCGTAAGCAACCTTCACCATTTGCAACCCTTGACCCCCGTTGCCAGAACCTTGTTTTGAGACGGTTCAAAAAAAATAAACAGCCATCTCAAGCAACCGTCACCATTTACAACCCGTCCCAACCCTTCCCAAACCTTTTCAACCCTTCCCAGCCCTTCCCAAACCTTTCCATGCCCTCCCATCTCCTCCCAGCCCCTCCTCCCGCCCTCATTTGTTAATTTTCGTCTTATCTTCTTCTCGTTTTCTATCCCTGTTCTGTTCTTTTCCCTTCTCTCGTTTATTTTAGAATCTTTCCTCCTTCCTCTGTTTCTCTCATTTTTCTCTCCCTTTTCCCTTTCTCTCTCCTTTCCCCTGCCCCTTGAAATATTCCCTTTGTTTGTCCTTTTCCCAACCCTCTCTGCCCGACACTGCACGGCAGGCCTCTATTCTGCACCCGAGTTGTTGGCACAGCAGGAGTATGACAAGAGTGTGGATGTGTACTCGTTTGGAGTTATTCTGTTTGAGGTACAGTTCGTACTTGTTTACAGTTATTTTGTTGATAGACTTAAATTTGTCAGTGTGTGTGTTGTTTTCCGATAGAAATTCTTTCTCACAACTAGATTACAATCTCATACGCCAGTCAACCTCCTCGCACAACTCACACCTCCCCCTCAGATGTTTGAAGGATATGACCGGATCCGCCAGTTGCTACCCGGTGGGACCAACCATGGGGGCAATCTTTTCCCACTGGCACTTAGCAGCAGCGGCCACAGCAACTCGGAGGGGGGGGCGGAGGGGGGGGCAGGGGGAAGCCACCACAGTGGAGGAGGGAGTTACCATGGGGGGGGGAGCTTAAGGGGTGGGGGGTTGTTTAAGGGGGAGAGTGCGGGGGAGAGAAGCAAGGAGGCTTCTGCCAGTGGTGGGGCTACTGCTGCTGCTGATGGTTCTGCTGGTGCTGCTGGTGGTGCTGCTGATGGGAGAGGGAGTGAGGGAGAGGCAGCAGCAGAAGCAGCAAGGCCGGCTGACATTGCTCCTCCTGTCTTCACCAGACGAACATACCCCATGGGGATGAAGGAGTGAGTGTTGCCAGTGTGTGCTGCACGTGTGTGCTGTGGCGCATGTATGTGTCGCATGGGTGGGTCGCATGGGTGTGTGTGTCGCATGGGTGTGTGCGTTGCACGGGTGTGTTGGGTGTACCGCATGGGTGTGTGCGTCGCATGGGTGTGTTGGGTGTGCCGCATGGGTGTGTGCGTCGCATGGGTGTGTTGGGTGTACCGCATGGGTGTGTCGCATGGGTATGCCACATGGGTGTGTCGCATGGGTATGCCCTGCTGCTGGTCGTGCCACAAAACATTCTCCCTCTGAGGCACCTCAAAACCAGTTCTAAATAATATTGCTCTGGTCCTGCCCTTTCCATCGTTACACATCTTCCTGCCTTCGCTGTGTGGATACAGAGACTTGTTTTCTCACCTACATGATCCCTGAACCCTAAAGCCTGTTGTCTCCCTCCCTCCCCCCACCCACCCTGCCCCCCCGTCTTCCCTCCCCTTTTTCCCCCATCTCCTATCCTCCTCACTACCAGGCTAATAACAGACTGCAGGAGTGGAGATCCAGCAGTAAGGCCTTCATTTGCACACATTATAGAGATACTAGAGCAGATTCAAGAGGAGATGAACCCCACAGGGAAAAGGTCAAACGCTAAGGCATCTGGCCATGCGTGCTGTACAGTCTTGTAACGATGTAACTGTGCGGCATCACAGCTTTGTGTTGCGTCCCATTCCCGTGCTTGCAGCTTTGTTAGTGTGGCAGCAATGGGTGCAGCATTGTTAGTGTGGCAGCAATTGGTGTAGTGTAGCATTGCTAGTTTGGCAGCAATGGTGCAGATAGCATTCAACAAAGAGCCATGCTTGCGTAGTGCAAATGTAAGCACTCACAATTTAGCGAGCGAGGAAAGTCGGCCACGATCGATACCGGTAATCACACCCATGCATCAACCTGAAGCTTATCCAAAGTAACAAAAAACTAAAAACACCGTCAGCCCCCGGATAGAAGCGCCCCTGGGGGTATAAAAAAACACTGTTTTTTAGGGAGTGGGCTTATAATTGAGGATTTTTATAGGCGCCGGGGCTTATATAATGACATATATGAAATCTAGTTTTTTTACACCAAAGTGTTCATCTCGTCCTTGCGATTTGAATCGAATCGATATTGTAGTGGGCTGGAATGTGAATCTCGCGTAAATTGGCAGTGGCTGATTCCCTGCCAACACGCACAGTCAGAATGAGTCAGATTGACCCCATGACAGGTCATTCTAACTGGACGTGAAGGCATTGAGTCGCGCGAGGGTGAAGGGATTCGAATTTCTGAATGTGGGTATGCAAAAACTGTGTTTCGTTACAGCGTTTCCAGTAAAAATATAAAAAATAAATTCAGAGGGTGACGCTTATAATCCGTAAGCCTTTAGGGGTGCGCTTATAATCGAGGACCGGATATAAGCGCCCTCATCCTTTTATAAGCGCCGGCGCTTATCCGAGGCCTGCGCTTCTATCCGGGGGCTTACGGCAGGTTACCTACAGTATTGGGAAACCCGAAATACCTTGTATAACTGCACACACAAGCTCTTTTACAAAACTGAACATTCTTTCTAAGCCACACCCTCGAGCCACAACTGCAGCTCCGCCAATGACTACAAATTCTGAAACTTCAATGACGTTGGCATGGCACCTCCTAAAAAACGCTCACTCACGCCTTCTGAGACGTCTCAAAGGCCCTCCAGCTACCGTACAATTGAAGCTCTTTCGTAGACGTCCCAAAGGGCCAGCAAAGCCTACCAATTGGTTTTAAGGATTCTGAGGACAGGGATCAAGGGGCCAGCTCTTTCTTAGACGTCTCAAAGGGCCAACAATGCAAACCAGCTCTTTTTGAATCGCTTTGGCTTCATGTGTGTGCCTGATTCATGGGATGGTAGTATTGCGTTTTGTGGATTGTGGATTATGCACAAATGCCGAAACAGCCCATAACGGGGATTGCCTGTTTGATAGTGAAGTAGCGGTGACTTTGGTCTGCTTCTACACAAGTTTGACCAAACGGCCAATTACTTGCGCATGCTTTGCACATAGCTTGCAGGTAGTAGGGGCACACCCGCGCAGTGGAATCCCGCCAATGCCCCATATTTGTGGCCATCTGGTGGGTTTATTCTTTCGTAGAGAAGACCGAAACGCGGGCGCTACTGGCCCTTGCGAGAAACGCAAGCTGCTGCTGCCGGAATCAATGGGCCAAGGCTCTCCTGCTGGGGCAATGGGCCAGACGATTCCTTTTCTGCTGCAAAACACTTTCCACTCGATTAAAAAACCACTGCTGGAATCAACAGGAAAGTGTGTCAAATGTGTTCCTGCTGGCCAACGGGCCAAACAATTTATGGTCAACTGTGGTCGGCAACAGTGCAAGCCGAGTTGGAAGCACCAGATGAGCCGGACTATGGATGGGTTGGCTGAGTTTTGCGCATTGAATGCGGTACGCGTGGGAGGGCTTTGATCCCTAGGCTCGGGGTTGCTTGTTCCACGGACCCTGCTACAAGTTTTTTTTAGGCGCCTCAAAAAGCGTTGGACACTGAAATACGCCCCGCTGGGATTTGATCCCTTGGCTCGAAGTTGCTTGTTCCACCGACCCTGCTGCACGTTGTGCGGAGATTCACTCTACAACGGTAGTGAGCTAGACTACGGGGATTGGCACAAACTACTAGGTATGATCGTAGCTTTGCTTAATGCCTTAGTGCTTGCGTATATACGGGAGAAATCGGCAAGAGTTTCACCAGGCAAAAATGGAATTACAGAATGGTTGAACAAGCAATGACAGAATTACTACATCACGCACCTAGCAACCCTGCAGCTAGCCTGGTCGACCGCCAGCATAGCTTGGTCGACCGCCTGCCAGCGTTGCGTAGAGGAGCCACGCCAGCACTATAGAAAGGAGACTTGGCAATACTGCAGGTCGACGGCGTGCCAACGCTGCAGTAGAGCAGCTGTCCAGCGTTGCCTAGTAGAAGACAGCAGTGCGCACGCTTATAGGTGCGCGCAGACGATTAGCCCGACTTGCATTGCTGTGCATCCGTTGGCTGTTGTCTGCGCCTGACGAGCCACATCGACCTCGGGATACCAGCTCGAAGTCGCCTTCGCCATCGCGACTTCGACGACGTTCGTGTGCCTCCGCGGAACTCGTCGAGCAGGTTACCCGGTCGACCAAGACACCAGCAGGTGCTCTGGTCGACCACCAAGTGCCTCTGGTCGACCACCGGGTCCCTCTGGTCGACCACCGGGTTTCTCTTGTTGACCACCAGGTGCCCCTGGTTGACCATAGTTCCCGTTGAGCTACCCCCTGGTCGACGGACCCCTTCCGTCGACCAGAACTGTCAGCTGTTGTCGCCGAGCTCCCCTCGTCGACCGCTGCTCACTCGTCAGGTCAACGGACTGCTCCGTCGACCTCCCGGTCGAGCTGCAGGTCGACGGACTGCTCCGTCGACCTCTCGGTCGAACTGCCCTTCCTGGTCGATGGCCCACCTGTCGCCCAGACCAGTCAGTTGCAGCTGTCGAGCTCCCTGGTCGACAGCAACACCACAGCAGTCCCCTTCAGCTTGATGAAGCCTGTCGAGCAGCTCTCCCATTGTGAACGGTCGGCTGCTACTCCCGTACATCTGACCAAGTCGTCGGCGTTGCCCAAGCGAGGGCGGGGCCAACACTCCATTCCCGTTAACACTCCCCTGCCGCGCTCACGCTTGGGCCTCCAGCCCACACGGCAGTACTCCACGGAGAAAACCCGTCCTCCGCGTGCACACCACACATAGCACACCGTCACCGCACCAGCCGTGCAGAAGGGTACGGCACTTACTGCTGCACCTCATCGTTGTCGTCGCCGACGTCGACCAAACGAACTTTGCCGATGGCGACAGAGCATCGGTTGAAAGCCGGAAAATCCAGCGCCTTCATCAGGAAGTCCACCGGCTACTCGGTGGTCGGGGTGTACTTCAGCACGAACTTCCCGCGCCTCATCATGTGCTCCAGCCAGGCGTAGCGTTGCTCCATGTGCTTGAGGTTGCCCGTCAGCCCCATGTCAGAATGTTATTTGTGTAGCCTGCAGTGGGGTGCTCAATACTGAGTACAACCCTTTAGGGTTTTCTATTTGTGTGTCCTGCTGCTTGCTAGTCTCATTCATTCTTTCCTTCTAACTACTATCTTTTGATATGGTACAGAGCACGTAACGCTCCTGGACTCCTGCTTCCGCTGCTACTAAGTGTTCTGCACGCCCCGTGGTGTGCCCTACTCTCGCGGCCCCGCCGCCCTTCTTAAGCGGCCCCGCCGCCCTACTGTCGCGGCCTCGCCGCCTCTCTACTGTCGCGGCCCCGCCGCCCTACGTCGCGGTCTCGCCGCCCTTCACTGCGGCCTCGCCGCCCGTGAGCCGACGTCTGCGAAGCCGCCGCCCGTGAGCCGCCGCCCGTGAGCCGCCAGTGGCCCGCCCGTGCGCCGACCGCCTGTGCGCCGCCCGTCCGTGAGCCGACGCCACCCGCGCGCAGCCCGACCGTGAGCCGGCGCCGCCCGTGAGCCGCCCGCCCGTGCGCCACCAGCCTGCCCGTGAGCCGCTGGCGCCGCCCGTGAGCCGCCCGCCCGTGCGCCGCCCGCCCGTGCGCCGCCCGCCCGTGAGCCGCCGCCTCTGAGCCGCCCGTCCGCGAGCCACCCGCCCGCCCGTGAGCCGCCCGTCTCCTATACCTGCGGTCCCGACCCCGTCCCGGCCATGCCTCGTCACCAGCTACGGCACACCGGGGGCACGTGCACCCCCCCCCCCCCTTCTTCCCGTCACCTGTCGCGGCTCCTTCGGGGGCCGCATGCGGCCCCCTCAGGTCGCCTTGACAGGTGACGGGAGGGGTGACCTGAAAGGGGGGGGCAGTCGTCGCCCCCTCTGCCGCTTGCTTTGGCGCCCGGGGAGGCCGTGCGCGGGACCCGCGGGGCGTCGCCCCTACTCGTCGCGACGACCCTACGGGACCCGCGGGGCGTCGCCCCTGCTCGTCGCGACGTCCGTGCGGGACCCGCGGGGCGTCGCCCCTACTCGTCGCGACGTCCGTGCGGGACCCGCGCGGCGCCGCCCTACTTGTCGCGACGTCCGTGCGGGACCTGCGGGGCGTCGCCCCTGCTCGTCGCGGCGTCCGTGCAGGACCCGCGGGGCGCCGCCAGAGCCTACAGCAGCGGCCGCCGCCACCCAGCAGCAGCAGCCGCCGCCAGGCCTGCAGCAGCTGCCGCCACCGCGCCTGCAGCAGCAGCAGCCGCCGCTCTGCAGCAGCGGCCGCCGCTCTACCAGCAGCAGCAGCCGCCGCCGCTCTGCAGCAGCAGCCGCCGTCGCCCAGCAGCAGCAGCTGCCGCCAGAGCCTGCAGCAGCAGCCCCTGGAACCGCCACCGCAGCAGCAGCCCCAGGAGCAGCCGCCCCAATAGCAGCAGCCCCTGCAACGGCCACCCCTGCAGCAGCAGCCGCCGCCAGAGCCTGCAGCAGCAGCCGCCGCCAGAGTCTGCAGCAGCAGCCGCCGCCAGAGCCTGCAGCAGCAGCCGCCGCTGAACCTGCAGCAGCAGCCGCCGCCAGGCCTGCTGCAGCTGCCGCCACCGAGCCTGCAGCAGCAGCCGCCGCCAGAGCCTGCGGCAGCAGCTGCCCCTGGTCCCTGGAGCAGCCGCCCGTGCAGGAGCCGCCCCTGGCCCCT